TTAGAACAGACTTTCTGTAGTGTTGGAGAAGAGAACAGCTGCCCTGTTTCTCTGCCACTGTATCCAAGCTTAATTGGCATCTTTGACACGTGTGGCAGGGGCTCGTCTCAGGGCCAATGGCTTTTTCACGCAGTTAGACTTCAGCACACACAAAAATGTCACGATCCAGAGGCGCACTTTGGCTGTGTCTTGTTGCCATGCTAACACACACATGCTTGTATTTTACTTCTTAGGGCTGTTTTTGACTGTATTTGTCATCTGAACCCTTATCTGTCCCAAAACCTGAACTACTGGCGGTCTCAACACTAACTTAAAAGTAATTGCCAGACTGGCAACCAGGCATTTTTTATGCAGTTATACATCAGCTTAAAGGTCCAGCGTGTAGGATTTAGTGGCATCTAGTGCTGAGGTTGCAGAACTGAAACTTCCCCCATGTGCCAAGCCTGTATGAGACTTATTGTGGCTGACGCGAAAACGCAAAAGCTTTATTACAGGAACTAAACAAAAATCTTTGTATTTTCTGTTTTATCTCATACTTTACAGAACTTAAATCTTAAGTGTTATCAGTTAACGTGTCTATCCTTAATTCCTGGTGTATGACATTCCAGGAATAGCATACATGCGAGTAAATGCACAAACACTTGTGCAGCATTTTCTGGTTCTAGTTCTGACTGTGAAAGCAATACTTAAACATCACTAATGCAACGAAAATTGAAAAATTATTCATTTTGGGATGCATTTTGTGCCATTTGTTGTCCTTATTTTTTACATGTTAAAATGGGGTTGCCACTGATGGCAACCAAAGGCCAAGAATTAGTTGCCAATTTTTCAAAAATGATTGGCACTGGCATTCATTAAAACCCAGATACACCAAACCAACATCAAAGAATTGGTGGCAGCAAAGGCTGACTGTTGCGTTTTTTCACGTGGCTTGTGTCTTAGCCAAAAAGTTGCACTTGAACACACTGCAAGAATTACAGCTAGCGGCCAACTAGCATGTATGTTCTGCGCCTGCGTGAGAGGAAATAACTCTCCATAGCAGCAGATGGCGGTAGTCTGAATTTGACATTCAAAAAGGAAAACCTGAAGGCCGCTTCGCTAGTTAGCTAGTTAGCACACTAACAGCACAAACCGATGTTGAAAGAACAAATGATATTTACTGTACGCCAGTGAACAATAACACAAACAATTTACAGAGTTTCTGCTAAAGAGCTCAATGGCTAAAAAATAATCTTACCTCATGAATCAAGTTTGTTTCAGTCTCACATATTTTGACTTTAATGGTTTGTTTTCTTTCCTTACTTCCGTTTCTCTTCTCGTGTGCTGAGCTGAACTGCCATTCAGAGTGATTTCACTCACCAGCAGGCTCCGATGGCGATTTAAAACGCCAAAACCAGCTGAAAAACAGGCAACAAGGGCTGACTAGTACCAAAGGTGTGGGACACACCGCAAAAACTAGGATAACAGACACTCAGCGACAGCCCGATATTGACCAACGGCCGAATATCAGCTTGGTTTTTGTCGGCCCTTACTGTTGAGCCCTTTACTGTACTGTTATCAGTAGCATTTCTAGAACATCAACCACATCCTAATAATAGTTCACAAGTGCTTACTGCCTTTGAAGGTACAACTCAACAGCAGTTTCACAACATTTTGCCTTCCTATCAACCTCAAAGTGACTCTCTTCACAGAAATGTTGGCTGCAGAGATGTCAGAGGAGGTGATGTTGATAACTCGTGTGAACATATTCAATTTTTAATGAAACTTGAAAGCTAGAGATGACTATCACTCCTGCAGCAATAAAGAATTCTCTCTCACCGCTCAGCTTCTTTTAAAAGTTAGTAACGCATATGCAACCTTTGCCTAAACCCTGAATGGCTGCCAAATTCCTCCTAGTGTTTCAGTCAGGCTGAAACGATGCCCTACTGTGCAGAGGAAGTTTCAGGTGGGGTGTATGTGTGAATGAAAATAGAGAGATGACATCGTTGCATGAAAAAAAGATACACACACACACACACACACACACACACACACACACACAGCTTCAAAGTGAATAGGGGTTATATTGCTCTGTGTTACCAGTGGAAACCTTCACTGTTGAGTTTATGCTGTCTCAGTGCGCAGCTCTCTTCATCAGGAGGACTGACCTTCACTGCTACACTGCTTTAGACTTTTCACTGCTACCAACCCTAATTAGCACCAGCTAATTTAGCTCTAATTGCCTCATACATCTCAGTAAACACTTGCAAGAAGTAGCAAATGTGTTCTTATTCAGACACATTTATTAAAGCCTAACAAATATCTACAGCCTTCCTGCTAATGAGCAAACTGTCCAAACATGTATAATCTGTGTTATCAATGCTTGTGTTCATTAGCTTTTTCACTCTAATAGACGATGTGTTTGAGCTGAGGATTGTAGTCTGCATAAGGCATCTGTCTTCTCCCATGACTTCCCTCATTTTTTACTCCCTCATGGCATGTCAGTGTCCCTAATGAGAAAAATTACATTCATTGTCTTACTGTGGGTCTATGTTGATGATCATTCATTGCCAGTCACTTGTTTTGGGCAACATTTACCCCCATCTGTTAAATATTGCATGCACTCCATCACTGCTTTGCAACCCAGTCTGTGAACAATCAGCCTCCATTTGTATATGTGAGGAAGAGCTGAGAGCTAATGTCTTTGGCCTTGTGGCTCAGGTGGGAGGTTTTGGTTACTCATGGGTTTTCATTATGTATTAAGAAGACTCTTTCACTCCTGTTAAAAAGGTTTGTTCTAGTCAGTGGGTTGCCAATAGGTGGCATTATGGCCTAATTTTGAGGGCAGCTCTGTTAATGGTTGAATGTCTGTCTTGAGCTTCTTTAACACAAATATGCATTGTTTTTTTGTTCGCCATTTCCTCGTCTGATTTCTTACACTTCTTCTGAAAAGTACTGAATATATTCTTCTCTGTGACCATCTTATTTATGCATTTGAATGGTAAAAGACGCAGACACTGGAACCCTGTGGCATGAACAGTTTCAGTTGAGCTGCGTTTGCCATAAAGTAACCAGACACCAGAAGGGACAATAATTCATAAGAGGTTACAGAAAATGATTGAGTGAATTTTGCTAATTTGGCCAGACACCCTGTAGAAGTTGAAGCTAACTGAGATATATAATGCCTGGTTTTGATCTTGGTTTGGTTTAATGATGATCTTAGCTGGTGATTCAATCAAGCACTTGTAGATATCGAAGTATTTCACTTCTGGCCACACAGTGGGATCATTTCTCCAAGAAAAGCAAGGTAAATAGAAGAGACACTGAGACTGACAATACTGAGCTTGTCAACATTTTTCTCTTTGGTGGACTAAGGGTGCTAAAATATCCCTTTGTCATGCTGAAATCTAAGGTTTTCAGCTAGCTAAAGGCATTTTGTCAGTGTTTCAGTCCTTGGTTCCATGTTGCGACACAGATTGGTTTCCCGTCTGGTGGACATGGTTTTTACAGTATGACGTGCTGCGCTCTGTCTCTATCTGTTAAGGTCTCTAGTCGGCGACCATCTTGTAAAGTCATCCCCTCCCCTAACCTGGTCTACTGCATACTAGCAGATATGAACACCTTCTCACTATTGTAATAAACTCACTGAGTGGGGAAAAAGATGATTGGTTACATCCACTGGACAAGTGTTTTTCCTTCTGTTATCATAACAAGCAGCACATTGATTTCCAGCTCATGTATTTGTATTAATTTTTGAAACATTTGAGCTTCATTCACCCTTCACTTTGATATTAAAATCAATTGTTTTTTTTGTAATTGACACGGCCCATGAGTTACAGAAATTGGCACTTACTGAACATACATGAGAATGTAGCCTACTTTTTAAAAAACAAGATATCCCTCCCTGTAACTGTGGGGACATTGTTTTGAAGCAGCACCTCACCAGTTTAAGAAAAATAACCCTGATGATGTCACAGTGATGCCATCAGGGATAATTCAGCTTGGATTTTGAGACTACAAATTCATTTTAGAAACCTGCCTTACAAAGTGGAGGGAGTACCAATTAGTTTCGAAACCTTCAGTGAAACAATACATGCAGTCGATCCTTTTTGTAACGAGGTCTTGTAACGAGGATTTGTTGGGTTTTGCCTGCAGCCAATCACTACTGCAGCAGCCACAACCCATACAGTGTGTGGTGTGGTGAAGTAGAGCGCGATGTATTTACCAAAGTAGGCTGTTCAGCGCACTGAGATTCAACCAAAATATTTGAAAGTAGGGTTATACTACATGCCTGTGATGCCTGATGGCATTTTACACAACTGAATAATTTCAATCACATGATAGGTATCAAATGAAGTAGAAAAAAAAAAAGGTATCAACTGAAGTATTTTTATCTATCACTTTCAGGGTACTGGTATCTTAATTTTTCCAAACAATACACAGTTCTACCAGGCAGGAAAAGTCTAATGACACAACATATCAATAGTTGTATGGGACTACAGACAGCTTACAGTGCTTTAATGTGCTGAAAGTATTTTATGAGAGTCGGCAGTAAGAGTTAACCAGAGCTCCCACTCCAATCTATAAGACCTTGTTTGTAGGGTCCTTCAGTGTTAGCTTTAGATAATCACAGTTTCACTTCAGATGTGAGTCAGATTGGTTGAAGGCACAAGAAAAGACCAGGGAACATTAGAAAACAATGGGAAAAGAGAGAACAGAGACTTCTCTGAGAGAAGCACGAGTAATGCTATTGAGAGAGACACTGAATGAAATGAAACAGAGAAAGGAAGACGCTCTTTTAAAAGGCTTTGGATATACTGCGCTTTAGATACAGACATCGGTGATTGTAATTCTGGCTCCATCCTTGACAGCAAGATTGTGCTGCCCGAACTGTTTCTGTGGGGTGACATTTGGGTAGAACATCAAAATGTCCTTTCACTTTTTAAAAAAAAAAAAAAAAATGTTCCAACTCTGATCTTTTTTTCCCTTCTCTCTCTCTCTTTTTCTCTACCTCTCTGTAGGTTTCTAAAAAGGTCGCTGATCTCATTCTGGAGAAACAGCCCTCTTATGTCAAGGTAAGTTTCCAGTGTCACCTCATGACCACATGAAACAACCATGGCCCGGCCGCTCATCTTAAAAAACAGTCAGTTATATTTGGCCTTTTTTTTTATTTTTTTATTTTTTTTGGGATTGGCATCTTTTCTATTGATCTCTTCTACTTGTTATGACTGGACGTCAGGTTATTTTGATGGTATCAGGGTGTCAGTGGATGTGTTCCTGTTTCAGCTGTCAGCTGCCAACGAGATAACGTAGAATTTCTGTAACCATGGTAATAGGAAATCTTACTCCATCCATGGATAAGAAAAAGGGGGCAATAATCTAGGTTTTTGATTCAGAACATAGTCAGGATGTGAATTTAAACTAAGTCCATGAAATCCCTTCTTTGGATCGCCTGGTGAAGTTGCAGTGAACTGAAATGAACCAGTGTGTGTGTGTGTGTGTGTGTGTGTGTGTGTGTGTGTGAGAGAGAGAGAGAGAGAGCGAGAGAGAGAGAGGATTTCTTTGAATCAAGTAAGAAGATATTAAGTCTATTTTTGTTCCGAGCCAGTAGAGACGAGAAATTGTAGGAGACCATGTTGGCTATAACGATGAGTCGGAATGATTTTTGTAACTGGTTTTATTCATCTGATTCATTTGAGGGTAGTGAACAGATGCAATCTCATCCTGTTTAGAAATGAACCTCGCAGCGACAGCAACATTCTTGACCCTTTTAAAAACATGAGCTAAGAGTAGTTTGAACCCACTGCCACATAGAAAGGGAGAGAAATTACCTTTTTTGGAGGTTTAACGATCTTAGTTATCAACTCTATACAGACGCTGGTGCAGCAGCAGAGGCCAGCATTGTGTACATGTCTGTGTACATTGAATGTGATTTGTGGCTTTGCAAGTGGACTTCAAAATAAAAGTGTTTTACTGGGAGATCAAATATTTGTGTTAGCCTAAATGTGTATATTTGTGCACGAGTGTGTGTGTCTTGGATTAATTGGAGGAGTTGGTCTTTTGATTTATTTAATCAAGCAATCAAACTTCACCAGTCCCATCAGATATATCACTTTTGAAGTTTGATAGAATTTGTGTTTAGTCAGTGAAGCTTTGATCCCAGCAAGGCACAGCAGATGACTGACAGCTCTAACAAATCTGGCGTGTCGTGAAGTTGCAGTGAAATTACGATCATTGTTAAGCTTTCTGAAGGTCAGTCTATGAATAGCAAATTGATCATTATTTCTGTGACCCTCCATGAGACTCTGCAGAGGCAAGATGACTGCAGGGCTTGTTAGCAGAAGTTGCCAGGGATTTCGGGGGCATTTCCATTGACCCGTCTCAGCCCTCTTTCACTTGGTCTACGAATACCCTCTGGAGTTCAGAGAGCACTTGAGTTTCTACATTCACTGCATTAATGTCACAAAAAGGAAGACAGGGTTTCACCACATTATTTCCTAGCAGTGATACTTTACTAAACCCAACATCTTCTGTTCTTTGTGCCTCCTTTTATATGAGGTTTCATCACTTTTCCACCGACTATTTTCGCCACCATTTTTTCTCTCCCAAGGCCTCTTATCTCCTCAGTGTGATATTTTATCAAACATGTACACAGAAATGCACACTTCTGCAGAAACACAGCCACAGGGCACAAAGCCACTTCTCCCCAGTGCTTGTTCACTGTGTATAACACATCGGTGGACACATAAATCGTGCAAACACACACACTCATGCCTCAGCGCCTGAAATGATGGCCCGCAAAGTGTCTGATGTGAGTCATAGCTATGTAGTGACTAATCTTTCTTCTGCTGGGGCCTGTGTCTGATCACTGTTGCTGCTCCCAAGCGATGCACTCGGAAGGGGTTGAAAGTGTGATTGGGCTTTCCTCTGTGGGAGGTTACATGGAGGCCAGAGCCATTTTCATTGATTCATTTATAACTGTTGATTACTAATTAAAGCTGTATATTCTTCAGGTGCTGTACTGTACCTGTGCTGTACATTTGAATTTGGTGCTCTGAAGTTGACAGATGTAACATTATTTCTCATTAGTTCAAGGCGAGATTCTTTTAACCTGCTGGATCAATAAAACAAGTAGTGTGCTGATTTAAAATAACTGCTAACTAAGTAAAATAACTCTTATCTCTCCAAGTAAAAAGAAACAGGTTAGAATCATAGAGTGTTTATCAAGATGTACGATGCATCTCCACTTCCTCCCACTGTACAAAAATGAAGCCAAAAGTCCTGGATGCAGGCACTGCCATCGTGCTCTGGTGACCTCATTTGGAGCCAGAGTCTATGCACTATATTGGGGGAGTGGTGCTGCAGTATCAGCCAATCACAGCTGTCAATCATGTTGTCACACCCCTTTTTATAGCATCAAATAACAAAGTAAAGCCAACCTTATCAGAAAACCTTTGGAAAAGTTTATGTGATATGTACGCTGGGGGTGGGGTTCATGACCTAAACTGCAGCCAGCCAGCAGGGGGCTATAAAAATGTAATGGCTTCTCTTTAAGGGAGCTGTCAAGCCGCCCATCTTTATATACAGTCTATGGTTAGAATAGAGTGGCCAACTGCATGACCCTTCGGCTTCTCAGGAAAGAAAGATTGCCTTCAGTGAGTCCATGTTGTGATGAATTTGCACCAGGTAGCCCTGACGAGGTCACTCAACACCATAGGAAAGGGACTTGGACAGAAATTCAATTATCGGCCATGCACTGGAAACATTAATTCATTACTGTTACTGCTGTTACCTTTCTTTGTGTTTCCTAGTTGCCTCCTTTGAAAGAGATTAGTAATTTGGTGGTCGTACCTGACAATTACATTGGGGTCAGAGGGTTATAAAAATGTGTGAAGGTGTGAGGGTATGGTCACATACCTTTGAAGTAACAGTGTGGGAATGTGGAGACAAAAATGTATTATGTGCACAAAAAATGTTAAAGGAATAACTACAGTTACTCATACTTTGGTACATTGTTTTGATGAATTTGAATTTCTTGCATTTTTTAACAGCAAAAACTCTCAGACAACTCTGCATTATAATCCAATCTTATTTATCCAGTCATATGCTCAGTACTTCCCGAACACATGCATTTTCACTAAAACCTTACATTAAAGACACTTCCGCATAATTAGTCTCACTCATGGATGAGTGTGTGCCTGGGCAAACGCGTGTGTTTGAACTCTGCTCAGTGGAATGCATGAGCAGAGTTCAGACGCACGCACTTGACAGAATTTTGTTGTTGTTAAACACGGACCTCCGTGACTTCAGTTAATCAAGAATGTCCGCCGATTTTGGAGCCTTCACTTACCGTGGAGGCATTCAAGAACAACAAAGTTTATTCACAAGCTAAAGGTAACAGGATGAGCAATTGATATTCAAATGGTCATTTTGTGTTTGTGAAGTATTCCTTTAACTCCAGCTGTGAGTCATTGCTCTTGTATACCCTAGAAGTAATTTAACTTTGTTTTTCGTTCACTTTAATGCAAATAAATGATAAGGGCATGGCCCAAACAGCAGCATCATTAGAATGTAAAGGCAGAATGGGCAACAGGGAGCCAGTGCATAGTCAATGTCCCAAAGGGTCGCGGGCAGGACCTCTTATGAATATATGAATAAAGAACCCTGGAATAAAACCTCCCTTGTGACTGAAGATCTCCTCCTCTTTGACCTTCACTTCCTACACCAGCGCCTGTGTTTGTGGACATCGTAGGAGTTCTGTTGTATATTTTCATTATGGTGGAGTCGGCTCACCTTTCTTGTATGTGTACAGTACATATAGATCCACTGTACACACATTGCTTTTTAAGGTCATCCCAGTTGTGCATACCAGCTCTTTAACCTCTTTTATTGACTTAAAACTAATTGAACAGTTGCCAGAGTCCACCACTGTGCACAGTTACAGGTACACAGTTCCACAAGCTGATTTAGCCCTCCGTCTGTCAGGTTAACTGTAGCTAATAGACAGGATAGACGGCTCAGAGCTGTGGTATAACAACAAATTGGAGCCTCAGGCTACATACTGAGCACTCAGCATGTTCAGCGCGTTTGTCTGAGTGTGTGATTCTGTTTGAAGCTGAATGTGTGTATTCAGGCTGTTAGGTCTCTTCCTGTGTGGATATGTGAGCATAACTGAATGCGTGAGTGTTTCTATATTACATCATGGTCTGAGTGTTTGCACAACTGCTGTGTACTGTATTACCTGTGTATTGATCGTGGGTGGCATAACAAGGGGCAAAGAGTGAGAGCCAGACCGTGTGTGTGTTCGTTTGATTGATAGATATTGAAGAAGTCAGGAGTTTGGGATTTTGCTGTGAGAATGATGCCTGTGCAGCTTGGTCATCTTTACTGTGAACTGTTTAGTGAATTTCATACTATTGCTGTGTTTAGACATAGTACAGTTTTACAGTTGTAGCAGAGTGGGTGATAAAGATGTGGCGACACTGCTCCCAGTGTGTGAATCAGCTGGATTCAGCCACTGAATTATTTCTTAGCTAGACCTGGTGAGTCAGCCCAGTCCCAGCCAGCCCCTCGTTGCTGCGAGCGCAAGGGCATTTTCTGAGGACATGTTTTAATGTGTGTTCGAGTGTACAAAGGCCACTGTGGTACCTTCATGTATTAATTAACTCCTCTAACCAGTGCGTATGAGCTTATTTAAGAAAGGCAACTGTGTTCTACGCATGTGAAGTATTTATGGACAGTTGTTGCTCTCAGTTGTCTGGGTAGTATTTAATTTGCAAAAGCATCAATGTGAGGGTTAGATTATGTCCAAACCAATGTATATAAAGATGGATGACGCATCTCCACTTCCGCCCACTGTTCAAAAATGAAGCCAAAAATATCCTAGATATGGCAACTGCCATCTTGCACTGTTGACATCATTTGGAGCCAGAATCTGTGCAGTAGTGATCTCTGCTGTGTCAAGTTCCCGTCCATACACCTGTCCGACCAGTTGTGAGCAGTGCCACCGATTGGCTCACACAGTTGTCAATCATGGTGTCAAACCCCCTTTTTATAGCATCAAATAACCCAACTTATTAGAAAATGAACACTTGGTCATACATCAGCGTGAGAACTACCTAAAATTACAGAAAATATTATTTATTTATATTTATTATTATTTAAATAAAAATTTGTTTGGCGTGTTCTTTGATCCTTTAGTTTGGCTCATGTCCCTTCTGCTAATGAGGAGGGGGCGGGGTTTATGACCTATACTGCTGGCCTCACATTAGGGAAGCTTACATGTTGTCCATGTCTATATACAGTCTATAGTCCACACTTGCCTTTGCTGTCTTGACAAGATTGAAGGTCTCCCCTTCTGAAAAGATCTAATGAGAAAAATATTGATACCACTCTCATAAATGTGTATATTGTGCTTAAAATGAAGCTACTGCCAGCAGCTGGTTAGCTTAGCTTAGTTTAGCATGAATATTGGAAACAGGGATACAGCTATCCTGGCTCTGTTCACTTGTTGCAAGTACATGAACTGTGAAAGCAAAGTGTTAAAATGACGTGGTGGTTTAATGGGGTTTGGTTTTTGTCAGGATTTTAAAAAATGAGATATAAGGTGTTAGAAGTGAAGTCTGAGATGCTGGCAGGTGGATTTTGTTACCTTCGGACAGAGCCAGGCTAGCTGTTTCCCTTTTTCCAGTCTGTATGCTAAGCTAAGCTAACAAGCTGCTAACTGTAGCTTCATATTTAGCGTACAAACAGGAGAGTGTTTGTACGCCTCAGGGTTTGTGATAGCATAATGATAAACTATAATCAAAAAGTAAATTAAGCTATAAACAGTTGATAGATACTTCTGCCAATAAAGTTCTAGCTTTGTTAAACATTTTCATGAAACCAACTCTGTTCCCAGTGTTATAGATCATGAGTTTTAAGCCTAAGAGTAGCACAGTACGTGTCCCCTCAGAGAAAAACCCCAGTTACTGATTCAACCCTTGTAAAACTGTTCTGAGGACTTGTCAAGGTCTTTGTCAACGCCCAAGATCATAAGGCCAGATTGCTTTGACTGGAATCATTGATCTTCTGTTGTTGTTTATGTAATTACTGTTTTACAATTAATTTCCCCAGACTGTATTCTGTTGGTAAAAGGTTGCATTTCTGACAGTGTTATGTGGATGTTTGTGAGCACTGGACTTCTTTTGCATAGGGATGATGCTGCACTACAAAACAAGATCAAAGAATAACCATCTCCCACCTCAGGCATGGCATCTGGTAGATCAGGAAAATAAGAACCAAGAGGGGGAGAGAAAAAGTCGAAAATATAACAGCGACGCGATTTGTCCCTGGGTCCTGCTCTTGGCTGAGGGAGTGTTTGTGCTCCACAGAGGTCACTGAAGTGGCATAATAACTCAACTCTCAGAGCAGAGTGCTCATTGATCCTTTTTCTAAATGTCAAAGCTCCGAAGAAAGGAAGCTTTTCTGTTTCTTCTGTGTGTTATTTGCACCGATGATGCATGCCTTACTATAATGACATCATCTATAATATCTGTCTTCATAAAACGCTCACTGCAGGATGCATCTCGCTGTTGCATTGTTGTTCATGTCTGTAAAGTACTTAGTGGGGGAAGTGATTTGCTGGGTAAATGGCATTATTATTACAGGCATATTTCACTGACGACACCATCAGTGAACCAACCCAACAATATCTTTGTGTCCCACAGATTTTACAAGCCCACAGCATTATCATACGGCTCTCTAAGCACTAGATAGAAACTTCAGCAGTAAATAATTCCTCTGGATCTGAAACACTAACTTTGAAATGTTCTAGTGTTTAGAGATAACTGTATTTTAATAATAATAAGAATCAGTAATTTTTACCACTGACTTTGTCATTCACAGGAACTGGAGCGAGTGACGGCGTTACAGACCAACCTGCAGCTGGCAGCAGTCATTTGCACTAATGCAAGGAGGTATTGGTGTTCCATCACATACCGTCTATTCACTAAATGCTGAAATAGCCCATTCAAACTACATCTGCATACTAAGTGCCTTCCTCATAGCCGTGATAACGTTCCTTCCCTTCATATAGTCTCAGTCTGTTAATATGGTCACACATGACAAATGATTCTGTCTTGTTTGCCCTTGAAATAAAAAAGGAATCTAAAACATGCCACTTTACATGATAATCTGCACAGTATGTTATTTCTGTCTTCAATAGGCTATTTATTATGCTATTGTGGGTGAAAAGAAATGTTTTAGTGTTCCTACAAGTTGGGTGGTAACAGTAAATAGGCAAGTTTCAGTAAAACAGGCTTCTGTTGTAACGTATTACAGCTATTGTCATGTTTATTGCCAGCTAAGTAACAGCAGCATTAACCTGTGATGATGGTGTATTCACTCTGTACTGTGATGTCTTGTGAAGGCAACTAAGTGTGGCAAAGGAGGGATTCACAGAAGCCAGCTTGGGGCTATTGGCCAATCAGAGGCGTCGACAACTGCTGACAGGCCTGCTGAAGTCACTGAGGACCATCAAGACGCTGGTGAAGTTTACACACATAGTTAACAACAACATGTTTCGTCCTACCGCCCTGAGAAATACCAGTCTGGTTCACAGTTGACCCTGACCTCTGTCAGTCCCAAGTAACTGTGCTTTTTATTGGGTGCTGCATGGATTCTTGTTCTGATTTGGTTTACAAAACTAAGTCAGTACTTTTCAGCATGACCTCCATGCCCTACACAGATTGTTCCAGCATCTAGTGTGCTGCCTCTTTAATATAATAAAAGCTGCATAACACTCAGACAGCTGCCTACAAGCTGTCCTTTGAATTTCCTGTGTAATTGTCTTGGCCATGGTCTTGGTATTATAATTAACACACCTTTCTGTACTCACATTTCTGTACTATTTTTTTACAGTTATGGCTGATGTAATACATATTTCTTACCTGCAACATTATGTATTTAAACTGTAGTCATGAGGGAAGTTTTTGATTTTCTTGTCAGTGTTATTTTGGCTCACATTCGGAATCTGACCTTTCTACTGTAAGACTTTACCCCGAGCTGTTTCTGTCTGAAATATCCAGAATCAGAATGAGAAGAGACAGAAGATGAGCTCTATGTGTGATGAGAAAAGAGTGGAGGAGCAGAATTGCTTTTTAGTCTGCTATGTCACCCCAGGAGCTACATTTTATTTATTACAGAGAAAATAAAGTAGCGAAAAAAGGTACCTTTGGGTGCCAGTACCAAATTCCAGGTGCCAGTTTTGGTTACGATGTAAACGGTATCGTGTTGTCATGATACTTGAATTTCTAACTTTTATACGACACCTTGAAACATATCAGTATTCGATACCTTTTATGATACCACAGACAAAAATTGACATTACAGGCATAAAATTTCAATTATTTAGTAGGACTATAGGCTATAAAATGACAACGACAACGACGACTCTGTTTTTTGGTTCGTAGCAAAGAACAGCAGAATGACTGCAGTAAATATCAACATTAAGAGACAGTGAGAAAGTGCAGCTGGTATGTTCAGAGAGAAAAAATTACATCACTAAAATCACTGTTTGCTGAAAATGTTTTAAAAATACTGTTTAAAAATATGCACAATGCAAGTGTTTAAAATGAAAGAGCTAGGCAGAAATGTGCAAAGATATGATCTAGAGGATGTGCAAAAGTTTTACAGCATAAACAATAAAAAAAATGCGCAGTGTACAATGAAAACACATAAAGACAGATGTGAAGACGTCATTGTAATGTGTGGCGTCAAAACAAGACAAAACAATGTGCAACACCAAGGCAGCCATCTGTTATAAACCATTACAAACACACTGTGTGACTTTTGGGAAATGAATTACTGTAGTCAACACAATACTCATTGCATCTGCACATGATTTAAATATGTAAGTTAAAGGAACATACTCTGTTTCAATGATTTGCTTATTTGCTTTGATCACAAGTGTGTTAGTGATTTTATGCTGTATTCATGTCTTCATCTTGTCATTCTTACCCTCACAGCAAAGAACAGATGTAAGACTCAGCGAGATGCTTGAGGTATTTTCAACCCTTCTACACACACACACACACACACACACACACACGCAAAGATATGTTTGTAATCGACTTGAAAGGTCAAACATCAGTGGGGATTCTGCATTGAAAGCCAAACCCACACAAACATGAGACAGTCCCACAAATGCCGATCTGTTGTGAAGGTCAGCTGTAGCACATGGAATGGATTTGACTACCACTGAATGTAATCCAATCCGTTATCCACACAGTATCTGTTGTATCAATCATTTTTAAGGAGATCAAACAAATCTGGTGCACAGAAGAAATCACACGTGTCGCCGTCATAATCCAGAATTTTCTGTTTATATGTTTGGTATTTATAATTTGTTTGCAGACTATACAATACTGTTTATTGTACGTGAAACGTACATTAAATGACTTTACCTCTCTGTGTTTTTAGGAGGAAGACTATCCAGGTGCAATCCAGCTCTGTCTGGAATGTCAGAAGGCTGCCAGCACCTTCAAACACTACAGCTGCATCAGGTACAGTATGAGCACATTGACAGAATGATATTTGATTGTATCCATATACAAGCAGCATGGACTTCATTTTCTATGGGTGGATGAACATTTTATGATCACTTATTTCCTGTTGTGAAACTTTTAAAGTAGTTGTTGGATTGAAAGGTAGTCATGCCATACAGATGCTTAGACAGAACCGTGTGAACGCTCAGGAGTACACAAGGATGTTTTTAACCATTTGTTGCCACTCCTTCTCTCTCTCCTATGTAAGATAAGAGTGGGTTTTCAAATTATAGGGTATATCGAAGATTCTGTGTGTATGCGAATCAATGCAAGCTTTGCAATCATCTCTGTCCCTTTGATATTGTGTGTAATTGTGCTCAATTTGTGTCAGGAGGTGGGTGCCACAGTGCCCCTTTTTCTTCATCGATCATTTATTGATCAAGGATGCACGTTATTGCTGGCTTCATCCTTCTAGAGTATTTGGTGCAGAGGTGTGTGTGGGAAGGTCTTTAGCTGCTCCCAACACTTGCCAGTGCAACACAAATACACGGTGTTCCAGCTGTAATTTTTGCTTTTATGCCACGTGCAGCAGATTGTGCGTCAAGTCTATTTGTGGAGCGAGCACTGGCGTCACAAAATGGTGAGCCCCATGTCAGCAGAGCTCCGTGTAAAGGCACAGTTTCTCTGGAAGATTCAGACCTTTGAAACGACACTGCGCACCTGCAGCTTTACATTTAAAAGCTTCACCTGGCTGGCGATAGAATGACCGTTGAGAAATGGTGATCAATATGGTATCATGCTGTGCACTTGTTGTCGATATCACTTTTGTTTGCACAGTGTCATCAGTTTACCATTCATAGCGGTGTGTGTCCGTGTTAATACTCCCTGAATGTGTTGGGATTCTGATGTGCAGAGCAGTTTTTTCACCAATGATACCACCCATTGTCAATGAGGGAATCTGATTGTGATCATCATAAAGAGAAGCACTTACTTTTTTTATTACCATCATTGTATTCACACGCGGTCCGAATGGGTCATCAGATGTGTCTATGGCAGACGGACAGAAATCCAATTGCCCTCTCATCTTTGCTTTCCTCTTCAATATGCTAATACCGCCTCCTGAACGTAGTTGTTTTTAACATGGGTGCATTGATGACACATCTGTCACACTTTACGTTAGCATGCACATTCTACTTTGGCTCTCTGCCCAAAATTCCAGGAGCCCTTACTGCAGCGTTGCCGTCCCCTAAGCAGCTAGTTACCGGTCTGCTGCACTTTGATTTAACCTTGTAGCCATGCTTTTCCATGCGCTGCTGAATGCCCTACATGAAGGCTTTGTTCCATGTCTGCCCTTCCGTTGTCTTCTGTCCCTAACCCTTTAAAAGTCAATATTGTTTCCCCAAGAAGGCACTTACACAGCCTCATGCTCTGTCTCGGTCCATTTTCATCAGGCTTCCCACATGGGCAGCTTTAGACCTGCACATGTCAGCACAGTGTTCATAAACTGTGAACTCTGCTGTGGCCTCAGAAAAACAAAGATGTCAGGTTTTCTTTAGCATTTCTATTGTCTTGTGAATCTCACAGAAATAAGAGAAGCTTTGGAAGAGAAGCTTTTGTACAATATGATAGTAATAAATTATGATACAGAATATACAGTACAGGCCAAAAGTTTGGACACACCTTCTCATTCAATGCGTTTTCTTTATTTTCATGACTATTTACATTGTAGATTCTCACTGAAGGCATCAAAACTATGAATGAACACATGTGGAGTTATGTACTTAACAAAAAAAGGTGAAATAACTGAAAACATGTTTTATATTCTAGTTTCTTCAAAATAGCCACCCTTTGCTCTGATTACTGCTTTGCACACTCTTGGCATTCTCTCCATGAGCTTCAAGAGGTAGTCACCTGAAATGGTTTTCCAACAGTCTTGAAGGAGTTCCCAGAGGTGTTTAGCACTTGTTGGCCCCTTTGCCTTCACTCTGCGGTCCAGCTCACCCCAAACCATCTGGATTGGGTTCAGGTCCGGTGACTGTGGAGGCCAGGTCATCTGCCGCAGCACTCCATCACTCTCCTTCTTGGTCAAATAGCCCTTACACAGCCTGGAGGTGTGTTTGGGGTCATTGTCCTGTTGAAAAATAAATGATCGTCCAACTAAACGCAAACCGGATGGGATGGCATGTCGCTGCAGGATGCTGTGGTAGCCATGCTGGTTCAGTGTGCCTTCAATTTTGAATAAATCCCCAACAGTGTCACCAGCAAAACACCCCCACACCATCACACCTCCTCCTCCATGCTTCACAGTGGGAACCAGGCATGTGGAATCCATCCGTTCACCTTTTCTGCGTCTCACAAAGACACGGCGGTTGGAACCAAAGATCTCAAATTTGGACTCATCAGACCAAAGCACAGATTTCCACTGGTCTAATGTCCATTCCTTGTGTTTCTTGGCCCAAACAAATCTCTTCTGCTTGTTGCCTCTCCTTAGCAGTGGTTTCCTAGCAGCTATTTGACCATGAAGGCCTGATTGGCGCAGTCTCCTCTTAACAGTTGTTCTAGAGATGGGTCTGCTGCTAGAACTCTGTGTGGCATTCATCTGGTCTCTGATCTGAGCTGCTGTTAACTTGCCATTTCTGAGGCTGGTGACTCGGATGAACTTATCCTCAGAAGCAGAGGTGACTCTTGGTCTTCCTTTCCTGGGTCGGTCCTCATGTGTGCAGTTTCGTTGTAGCGCTTGATGGTTTTTGCGACTCCACTTGGGGACACATTTAAAGTTTTTGCAATTTTCCGGACTGACTGACCTTCATTTCTTAAAGTAATGATGGCCACTCGTTTTTCTTTAGTTAGCTGATTGGTTCTTGCCATAATATGAATTTTAACAGTTGTCCAATAGGGCTGTCGGCTGTGTATTAACCTGACTTCTGCACAACACAACTGATGGTCCCAACCCCATTGATAAAGCAAGAAATTCCACTAATTAACCCTGATAAGGCACACCTGTGAAGTGGAAACCATTTCAGGTGACTACCTCTTGAAGCTCATGGAGAGAATGCCAAGAGTGTGCAAAGCAGTAATCAGAGCAAAGGGTGGCTATTTTGAAGAAACTAGAATATAAAACATGTTTTCAGTTATTTCACCTTTTTTTGTTAAGTACATAACTCCACATGTGTTCATTCATAGTTTTGATGCCTTCAGTGAGAATCTACAATGTAAATAGTCATGAAAATAAAGAAAACGCATTGAATGAGAAGGTGTGTCCAAACTTTTGGCCTGTACTGTATGTGTGCAATTTTTTTCTCTCCATACATGGTTTAAGACCATTTTGGGAGATTTTCTGCAAAATATAAAATTCATAATATGAATGCATGTTAGCCTGTCATCTAGCAGCTCTCAACCTTCACCTCCACAAAATACAGTACATGACTAGTGTTGTCAATGAAAATGTCAATCCCATTTCTACCCCTTAAATTTAAATCCTCCCTAAAAACCTTTGTCTTCCACCTGGCGTATCATTCAGCCTGAGCATGATGATCTTTTTCTTTTTTCTTAAATTGCTATTTTAATGTTTGCACTGTTTGCTCTGTTTTCTTAGCGTTGTTTTCCACATCTATTTTATTTTTATTATTGACGTTGTTTTAACTCTGTACACACCTATGTACAGCACTTTGGTAGACTGCTGTCGTTTTAAATGTGCTCTAGAAATAAATCCTGACTTGACATAAATCTTCCACTTGTATTGAGTGCCCTCATTTGTGAGATAACCCTTGATGAGGGAAGTGAGAAATATTAGGGTAGAGATCTTTCCCAAAGAAATGAGACATCACTTAATGCAAATCGGCGTGGGCGATGTGCAGGCATACGTCACGCGTAGTAGCGACGCAAGATAGTGTTAGTCATTCAGGTTTGAACATGCCAGCTCCAGCGCTTGTGTTGTGGCGTGTGCTATGTTTATTCTTCTCCATCTGATAAATCAATGGGGAAGAAATGCTGAAAACAGGAGGAGCTTACAACGTCTTCTAGTTCTGATCGATTTTGTTCGGGTAAGTCGATTTGTGTAAGTATTTTGATGCTGTGTTCAACCGAGTTGCTGATGAGTTTACGCTAGTCCAACCATCTGTTGTTTGTATAGCCTACATTCCCATCGTACTGTAACAAATTGTTTTCCAAAAATTGCCGAAGTTGCTGACTTCGCAAGGTGTTCTGGGAAATTTCATCTTCCACTTAGTTGAAAGTGTGGGTCGGGGCTCCCTTGGAATCTAGGGTGGGTTTTAAGTGTTGGAAACCACTTCCAGTACCTCAGTTCTGTTTTGGGATACCACTAGCCTAAACGTGAACGCACAACCAAGTGCAAGTGGGTATTTTTAGGGGAAGTGTTGGCATTGGGACAGGCCCATAATCTCAGTTTTGTTCCACAAAATCAGGATTTCAGAGATTTAAAGAGAGCGTGTCTCTGTTTCAGAGGTTGTCTACACATGGCTCTCAAAATGGAGGTGGCTGAGCTGGCTAGCAGTGTACGGTGCTAATAATGTCACCAGTGCTGACAGAGCTTGCGGTGTTAACCAGGTGAAATCAGAGGGTGGGTGCTCACTTCTGTGGTGATGCTGTCCCAGTATCAGCGGTAATTGCTGTATGAGTGTAGTGCAGAGCAGTGGCGATTAGCTAACCAGTGGGATACACACACTTGCACTACAAACACACATGGCCAAATTGACAGAGAAGCTCAGATTGCAACACACACACACAAAGGTAATGTGACTGTACTCTCCACTCGGGATGCCATTTCTCCACTAAATCTTTACATATCAAAAAGTTTTGCTGCTATTTTAATGCTCTAAATATCATATAGAGCTCCTTAATTACATAATTGCAAAGCTCTTCACTTTGTTAGTGTTGTATTGCTACAACAACAAAAAAAATCACATGGTGTCAAATTTTAGTTTGGCTCAGAATATGCTTGTTATTTCACGCCTGTTGTCAGACAAATTGTGTGTGGGTTATTCTAGGTGACTTTCCTC